AATAGATATATATATATATATACACACATACATATATATGTATACTACTATATACATATATAGTATTAATACATTTTGTAATATTTCACTTTCATCGTAAATGAAGAAATTATGCCGATCGATAACTTGTACACGCGGAAACATCGCAGTCGAAAGCAATATGTGCTCACGATGGTGTTCAGCAAGCAAAAATAAATTATAAATGTATGTTTGTGATCAAAGAAACATCGATCAAGAACTGTGTTGATGGGATTCATTGGTGTTTGCTTGTATCGAATGCACCAAGTATGATATATAAATCCTATGGATTTCTTGCTTTATCGCAACATCACGATATCGATACGATTTTGCTTTGGATTATATTTCATTATTATGTTTTAAAAGAATAATTATCTTACGTTTGATACATTAAAAAATTTTTTTAACCAATTTATGACTATTTTTAAAAGTAAACTAACGATATTTTGACTGAACGATTGAATGCAAGCATTAATTTGAATATTAAATTACTATTTTAGAATAAATTGCTCCTTACTCCGTTTATAAAGCAATCATAAAAAATATTAAAAGAACTGTATGTTTCAAGGCAGTGACATTGTGAAAAAAAAGTTCTTGTACTTTCTTAACACTTTGAATACATTGGTATATTTAAAAAAAAAATAGTATTGCATGTTATACAATGTATAAAAAAAATAAACTATCTTCCATTTTCCTGTTTTGCACCAGAAATATGAAAGTAAGCTCGTGTAATGTTAGGAATGTATTGTCGATTTTGAAAAATTACAACATAGCACATAAGAAAATTTCAGATTGATTACTGCGTGTGCCTACGTGTGGATCTCACTCTCGTCGGCATAGCCTTCTTATATATTGAGGTCAATCTAAATATTTAACAAAGAATTTTATGTAAGATTTAATTAATGCAATATCTAAAACCAGTATCTTTTGTAAAGTTTTAATTATAAGTAAACATGTCATGAAATGTCCCATCTTTAACAAGGAGTTAAAGGAGAAAACTTTTAGCATCTGTTTGAAAAATATTAATTTTTCTTTCTTGTTTTTTCTAATTAAACTAATATATTTGGACAAAGTGGCACGAATACTCTGTTTTATAAGTGCGGAAAATGTTGTGACAGATCTGACCGCTCTTAATATTATATGGTTGTTAATTAAGGTTCATTGATCTTCTTTTAATACAAAAAGTATTCTTAGAAGATCATAGACCTTTACATGAAAGATTTATGTATAAATAGATAAATGTACAGTAATACAAGGATAATTAAATAGACGAAAACAGATCATTGATATTGTATTAATATTATTATTGTATCTAACGTACAACATAATAAAATAAATATTATTATATTTTCAATTTGACCCTTTTTATTTTTTAAATATACAAATTTTTTATTTAATTAAAATTATTTTTTATTTGATTAAAATTACAATAGAACAATACAATAAAACAATAGGTAAAAGAAAAAATAATTGATGAAATATATTTTACATATATGAATTTGTAAACAAGCATTTAAAACAATATTAAAAATAATTTTTATAAATTATTATAGAAGCATTATTTCTTGTAAAAATAAAGAAATAAAAATAATATAATTTTAATAAAAATATAATTTTATTAAAATTTAATCTTTTATTAAAAATTAATTTAATCTTTTTTAACAATTTTATTTGTACTTTAAACACTGCAGTTTTTTATACATATTTATATAATATGAAAATATGTTATCAAAAAGAATTTTATTAAAAAGTATACTTATGAACAATTTGTAGTATCTCTTATATAAAAAGATACATTAAAATTAAAATTAATGATTATCATACTGATAGGAATGTATTTATATATAATACTCATAAGTACTAAACTGGTATATTATACATCTTGAAAATATTAATTTTCTTTTATTTTTTCTTGATTTATGACATCAGTTTCAGTATATTCTTTTGCAATATCAATATACTAAAAATGTTTGTTTGTTAATAATTAATAATAATAATTATTATTATTTAATGTTTTAACTTACCTTCCGAGGTACAAGAATTTCTAAAATTTGTAAAATAATGTAGCATAAGGATATAACAAGTAAATAAGGTAATACTCCACTTCGAATATAGCTTATTAATTGTTGACCTAAATTTTTATTACTTTCTTGTTTTACTAAATTGTATACTACTTCTGTTCTTTTAGTAATATTAAACCAGTTATAAAATAAACTTATTTTTTTATGCATTTCCATTGGACATTTAGTATTGCCTTTTTTATAATCTGTAATAGCAGATTCTAATCCTTCAATAAGAGCAGGTACTGTAGGTTCTACTAAATAAATTAAATCAGGAGGTAATACTTCAGGTATACCACCAACTTTTGTTGAAACAACTTGTAAACTATAATAAATAAAAATATTATATTATTAAATTAATAAAAATAATTTTCTTAAGGATACAATCAACATTTTAATTAATATTTTACCCGCATGATGCAGCTTCAACAATTGCCATACAATATGCTTCTGTCAAACTTGTATTAAGAAATATATGTCCTTTATTTAATACATGTCTAATTTGAGAATGTTCCAAACTTCCAAGTAATGTAACTCTATGTTGTAATAAGTTTCTTTCTCGTACTTCTTCTATGAGCCATCTTTTAGGGCCATCTCCAGCAATTAAAAATTGAACATCTTGGTATCGACTACAAAGATCGGGTATAATGCGAGCTAATAAATCGACACCTTTGCGATATACTAATCGCGATACAATGACTATTGTAACTACAATTAATAATAGCAAATAATATTATGCATCTTTTTTTAATCTTAATATTTCATAATATATATGAAAATACAAATAACTCACTAAAATTATCATCTCTTTTATTAATATCAGGCATAAATAATGTCGTATCAACTGCATTTGGAATAACAGAAACCTTCTCTTTTAAAACTTTTGCTCTTAATACTGTATTTTCTTTTCCAGTATGTGATACACATATACAATGATTGCAATCAGCTAATGATATTTCTAAAAATTTATTTGTTAAAATTGCAGATGCATCCGCAAAGCCAAAAAGTGAATGATCTGTAAAAATAGTCTAAAATCCCAGTAAAAAAAAAAAAACATAATATATAAATATTACATATTTTAAATTTCAAATGACTTACTTTCAATCCCATTAAACGGCCAATTAACATTCCTTCATGAGCAAGAGCAGAGAATGCAGAATGACCATGTACTATTTGAATTTCTTCTCTTAAATAAATATATCTAATGAGAGGAATAGAACAAATCATTGTGGGAAGAATACATTGATTGTAAAATACTTTTACTGGTATATAATATACCTTAAAAATAAAATAAATACTTTTAATGTGAAAATAAATTGATAAATATTTTTAAATATTTTTTATATATTATACATACTTTTAAACCATTTGTCATATAACGTATTCCAATTCTATCACCATAGGAATGAGTAAGCACTACAACTTTATGTCCACGTTCTAATAAACATTGAGATAAATTAAAAATATGTTCTTCAACACCACCCATATTAGGATAAAAGAAATCAGATACCATACTGTAAATTTGAATGTCAATTTTCTTTTTTTTTATATTAAGATTTTATATTAAATATACAAAATAAATTAATTTACATAAGACTTAAATACAAACCATATTTTATGTTTTATGCTGTTCATTTTGATAACTAAATTGCAACATGACTTATATAATAAAATAATGTTATTCATTTAATATAAAAGAAAACATTTTAAATATTTAAAATTTTTTTGTATTGATATATGTAAGTGCAAATAAGTCGTATAATTTGTCAATTAGGTTAGTATTTTATAAATTTTGTTAAATAATTTTTACATTATTATATCAAATAAAATTAATTTCTAAAGAACGATAAATTTAGAGAAAATTCACAAGTCTAAAAAGAAATCTAGATTTAAATAAGGTTATAAAGTTAAAAAAATAAGTTTAAATTTCTCATAGCATAGAAATAAAATTATTTTTTTAAAGCGAAATGTTTTTAGAACAAAATTTAGAATATTTTTAGAACAAAATAAATTTATACATAATAAATAATATATAAAAAATAAATTTATTATAAATTTATTATTTGTTAATTTTAACAAAATAGAATAAAAAAAACATATATATTTAAACATTTAGATTTTTTAAAAATTTTTTTTTAAAATTAATAAGTTTCGATGTTTTGTATTTCAAAAAACGAAAATCAATTCAACAAAAAAATTAAT